AATAAAAAAATATGCACTTCATACATCTATACTTTGCACTTTATAAAACAATATATTGCACTTTATCAAATACCACATGCACTTTATCACGACTATAAGGTCGTCCGAATAGCGAATGAAACCAACTGAACTCAATTTTTTTAACCAACAATATTATAAAAATAAAAATAAAATTATTAACATATTAAATATAATTTTAATATAAATAACAAATTATTTCGATGAGCTAGAATAATTCGGTTAACCAAACCAAATTATGCTAAAATACTAAATTTACAATAGTGCACTTTATAAAACAATACGTGGCACTTTATCAAATGACACATGCATTTTATCACGACTATAAGATTGCCCAAATGGAGAATGAAACCAACCGAACTCATTTTTCTTAACCAAAAATATTATAAAACTAAAATAACTAACATAATAAATAAATTTTTAATATAAATAACAAATTATTTCGATAAGTTAGAGTAATTCAGTTAACTAAACCGAATACACCAATTAATAATCTTCATTTTCAATTTGATTTGTACAAAAGTTTGGTTGGTTTAATTTGCACAATTCATGATGACACCGTGCACCATATTGTTGGACAAATTGCACCTTAATAACTGTTAGTTTGCACATTATATTTCATTTACATATATACTAATATGTGTAAAAAATAATATAGAATATTAAATATAAAAATATGAAGTGCTAATCATGTTTTTTAAAAATAAATAATACAATTTATGTCAGTTACTTTGGTTATTTATATTAAACAGGCAAATTAAACCCATTATGTAGAAATTATCAATTCAAAATTTTAAAATTTATTTGGATTAATTGGTTTTACCTCTAAAGCACATATTTATAAACAATATTGTGCACATTTATCAAAAGAGCCCTAAAGATTTCTATGTGCATTTAATATATTTTCTATTGTGCATTTAGTAGTTGAAATAAATTTTACACCTTTATCAATGTGCATTTAATGTATTTTTTCTATTGATTATAGATTTAACACATGTACTAAAGTGAAAGTTAATAAAACTCTTAGAATTACAATTAAGTCCCTTAAACTTATCAAATTTTCAAATGTTTGCCCCACAATTCTTGAAACAGGTTCTGTACAAGCTTCATCAAAATTTCACTCAATAGTAGTCGCCGGTCGTCCACGACGCTTGTACTCCGACGACAACGGCGGCGGAGGACCTCATCTTCCCGCAACCATATCGAAGATGATCTGTAAGCCAATCGCAGGGCCTGGCGACGGGGTTTTCCGGCGAGCAGCATTGCGCTAGAGCAGATCGCACGTGACCGCCGTGAAGCTTAGAGATGTGGTTGATGACGGACATCTCCGATGGCTACGACGGACGGCAGAGGCGGTGCTTGCTGTTGGCGGACATATCCGGTGGCTGCGATGGACGGGGGAGGTGCTGCTGTTGGTGGCGAACATCTCTGGTGCCGACGGCGGTCATCTCGGTGGTTGACGGCGAACGGGAGTCGACGGGCTGGTGGCAGTGTTTGTTGCCGGACATGAGTGTATGTGTGTGTGTGTGTGCGGCGCGTGAGTGCAGTTTGTGTAGGTATTATTGCGTGAGATATATGGGTGGGGTGGGTTGGGTAGGGTCCACCAGATAAATAATTAATTGTTTCAATGACCATTATATCCTTAATGTGTGGTCAAATGCATATATTTGACCACTTTATATTAAACTATTTACCATAATGCCATTATTTATTTGACTGATTTATTAAAGTTTGACTTGATCATGACCTTTGATTTACTAGATCTAAAGGCATACATTCATTCTTATTTCTTTCACTATCTATCATTCTCATATGATCCCTTCTCTCTCTCTCTCTCTCTCTATATATATATATATATATATATTTCTCACAATAATATACATTTAATAATAAGCAATTAATAACAATTAAACAAATAACATGGATAATAATAATAATAATAATAATAATAATAATAATAATAATAATGCAATTATACAAATAATAACATTCCTTTAATAAAATAAAATATAAATATTAATAATGCCAAAATATCCTAAAAATTCATTATTCAAACGGATTATATTCGGTTCACGCGATTAAACCGAAATCGAAATGACGAACGTTTTCCAATAAAACGATCGAGGACCCTATTATTTAAGCCGACATCGTGACTAATAAAATAAATATAATCTCATAAATAATATTCGATATATAGAATCTTCCGAGAAATCCTACAAATCGAACGGGGCGTTACACGAGCATCTCGCTCACCTACCTCTCGATCTCCGTCTTTTGGATGTGCGCGTACCGGTAGGGGTGAACGTTCACGGCATGTCGCTCATCGACCAATGGTATGCGTTGGTCGAACTCCTAGTGTGGCGGTAATCCCTTAGGTTCGCCCAGCACGCAGTCGAAGTCCTCGAGCAGCTCGCGTAATTCGGACTATTGATCGCTCGTGCCCACGCGTGCGCCCGCCTCTTCGATCATGACGGCGAAGATTTGGCCGCCCCTCGCTAAACTCGCTCGATGCTCTTAAGTCCCACCTCCTTGGTGCCACTGCCCTCACTGGCCTTCAATGTGACTCGGTGCGCTCCTGAGTCGAACTTCATGATTCTGGTTCGGTACTTGGTGGTTACGTTGCCTAACCCCTCGAGCCACTCCACTCCTAGCACAACATCGGGTTCGACCAAGGGTAGTGCGTAGAGGTCGGCTTTAACGGTTACTCCTTAAAATTTGATCGGCACCCCTTGATAAGCCTCTGAGCACCTTAGTCGTTCACCATTAGCTATTTGGACCTCAAATGGATCGATCTTTGTCGTCGGCAAATTCAATTTTTGAGATAGCGTGGTGTTGATGAAGTTGTGTGACGACCCATTGTCCACGAGCACTATTACTCGAGGATCCTTGACCCGCGCCGACAGCCGCATCGTCCTCAGTCCTCGGGTGCCAGCCACCGCGTGCATCGAGATCTGGGCCTCATCCTCGAGCACCTCGACCTTGACCTCGTTCTCCACGTGTTCCTCAATTGTTAGTTCTTCCTCGTCCGTTGTGTTGATGATCTTTTCATATCCTCGACCACTTTCCCATTTGTTTAGGTAGAGTAGCAACCCTTATGCTCGACGTCCCTCACAGTGTGAAATTAATCGCCGCCTAATAATGTAATATATCATAGAAGCCAATTGCAATTTTTAAATGTGTATAAATATATTATTTGACCTTCGCCCACCCCTTGGTCGAGGTATTCCAAAAATGAAAGACTTTGGTCTTCTCACATGCCCACCCCTGGAAGTGTTCCGAAAACAAACGACCTTCGCCCACCCCTTGGTCGGGGTGTTCCCAAAACGAAGGACTTTGATCTTCTCACTTGCCCACCCCCAGGGATGTTCCGAAAATATTGTGGTCGTCCAACCCGGAGGTTGGACGTTGTCGACCACATGCCCACCCCTGGGAGTGTTCCGAAAATAAGCGACCTTTGCCCACCCCTTGGTCGGGGTGTTCCCAAAACGAAGGACTTTGGTGTAATATCCCGACTTTTATCAGTATAATAATATTTTAGTTCCGATGTTATTTTTCGGAATTAATCCTTTTCAGTTATTTCAGTCGAAATTACCGGAACTATTTTCGACGTACCGTTTACGTTTGAAATAATTTTGGTAGTTAAGCATTATGTTTAATTTGATAATTAAACATAATTACGTGATTAATTTAACTTAATCACGAAATTAGCTAATTGTTCGGATTTTATTCAAGTCACGAACATAGCCGTGCGCATCGTATGCCATTGCCGTGTGCTCAAGGTTTAAGCGTTGGTGTATTCGGTTCGAGTTCATGTGCTTCGCCGTGCATGTGTTCGTGCGTGTGTTCGGGAGTCCGCGCCCTTCCTTGTCATGTAGCCGTGCGTGTTGTTGTTATGTGGTAGCCAAGAGAATCCGCGCCCAAAGCTAGTGGGCTGAGTGTCCAAGAGAATCACGAGTCTTGATGCATTTTTGTCCCATTAGTCCTTAATTGCCGCGCGCACTTTGTCCCTTTTGTCCGCAATATCCGTGCCTCATTTGTTCCTTTGTGTGCATATGTGTTAGTGCATTTGCCTTGGTTTTTCCGCACATGTTAGGGGAACATTTTGACCGAGCATCTTGTCTTTTAGCCTCGGCAAACTCACGTGAAACGAGACAATTTTTAGTGCATGAGTGAGCTTTGACCTCCCCCTCATTTTTTCCGCCCCACATCTTTCGGTTTTTAAGTGGAGCCTTGGGAAAATTTATTCATTTCTCCTCCTTAATGCCGAGAGATAGAGAGCATTTTTCCCCAACACTTAGAATTTTCAGCAAAGCATTTTAGCCTTCTATCACTCGCGCGCCTAGTAATTATCGCGCGGATTCCGTCACGCGAGCAGCACCCGTACGCATCGCAACACACGCACGCACACGGAGGTCACGGCCGAGAGC